AAAGTCACACTAGGTTTAAGTCATGCTTACTTAGGAGAGTAAACGAGGCTGCTTTGTCCTATTTGAGTGGCAACTCCTTTATTAGAAGACTTTGCTGGATCTGAGGATGCAGATCTGCCTTGAGCACAGTACTCCTATTTGCTGAATACACTTGCATAATAATGACTTCTCAACTTGTGCCATGACAACAAGCTGCTCTGCCAGGTTCTCATGACATGACAAACTATGCTGCCTTATGGTAACACACCCAGCACAACGTCCAGTATGTTCTCCGAAGAAAGCAAGCCAAATCACCATAATGAAAGAATTAGTTTTGCCAAACAACTGGGTTGAAAAAGATACCATGCATGCTCTCCATTCGGAAACTTATTGTGTAGGTTTCACAGAAAATATCTTGTATAGGTACTCCAATACATTATTATTTGAATGACTGCACCCTGGAAAAGTTTTGCAACATATGTTTTGCATACAAGCAGTGCACACGCATACTATGCATATATCAAGAGACTATGTTCATAAAATCTGGAGCAATAAGTCAGTAATACAATAGCACGTCAAAGGGCCAAGTCCTGGCTCATTTGGGAAAACCCATATATGAATCTGAATAAACCCAGTCTATTTCTTTTTCTTGGGTTGTATTCCTGGTTAGAAGTCAAAAATATCACTCAGCTTTCAATTATTGATCTGGTTTGGATGACACAGCAGCTCATCATGGCTGAATTAACCCTTGAGGCATGTGCTATCCACCGTTACAAATACCGTATGTAAGCTCTGGCCAGGGGTGCCAAGGCTTGTCATGTTATCCAAATCCAGCTGGGGTTATTTAAGGATTAACCAACTGACACATGTCTCACTGGCAGTAAAGCCCTGCCACCTGAGTATGGACAACATGACAAGCCACAGCAACTGTTGGGTGAGGAGTGCATATTCATTTGGATAGCAGCGTCTCACAAGCAAATTAAGCCATGGTCCATGAACTGACCCAACGCCTTGCAAGGGAATGGGACCTTCTGAGAAGAGTTTCATAGAATCACTCACAGAATCTGTGTTTTCTTCTGTAGAATGTTTTTTCCAAAGAAAGTTAAGATCTTTCTCCATAAATGAAAAAAAATGTTTGCTAGCCCCCTGATGATTTCTTTTTTACTTTTCGCAAGCACAAATCCTAGATCCCATGTTGTAAGATGAAAGGAAATACCATTTTAAAATGGCTAAACATGTACATACTGGGACTCTTCCATCAGCTTTGCACATCTGGATCATACAGTATCTGCCTATTCTTCCTGGCAAAACTGCTCCAGTTCTGTCAGGTTGGATGGGGACTATTGGCAAACAGCAACTTTCAGGTTTTGCTACAGATTCTCAATGAGATTGAGGTCTGGTCTTTAGCTGGGCCATTCTAAAACATTCAAGTTCTTTACATTAAAACCACTCCAGTGTTACTTTGGCTGTGTGTTTAGGGTTATTGTTCTGTTGGATGATGGCCTGCACCCCCATCCCAGGCCCCTTGCAGACTGAAACAATTCTCCTGTATTTGGACAACTCTTGCTTTCAGCCCTGACCAGTTCCTTAGTCCCTGCCAAGGAAAAGCATCCACACAACACAGTGCTGCCACCACCAATGCTTCATACTGTTGGGTTGGTGGTTTCTCCAATGAGCACTGCTGGCTTTCCACCACATAGGCGGTTTTGGAGCAAGGCCAAATGGTTCAGTATTAGTCTCATCAACCCAGAGAGCCACCCGTTTTTCTATATTTGCTGTCTCCCACATGCCTTTTTGCAAACTCCAAATGCACTTTGCTATGGGGTTGTTTCAGCAATGGCTTTCTTATGGCCACTTTCCATAGAACACAGCTTTGTGGTGTGCCTGGGTGATAGCTCTCCCATGGACCATTTCTCCATCTCAGCTGTGGATCTCTCCAGCATCTTCAAAGTTACCGTCAGCCTCTGGGTTGTCTCTCTGACTAATGACCTCCTTACCCAGTCACTGAGGTTGGGGGACAGCCTTCTCTGAGGCAGAGTCACAGTTGAGCCATATCCTTTCTGTTTTGTCACAATAGATCCAATAGCGCACCAAAAGATGCTCACTGTTTGGAATATATTTTTATTACCAGTGCTGATTGGTGCTTCTGTACAACTTTATTCTGGAGTTGTTTTGAGCACTCATTTTCTTAATGATGCTGTTTCTTTAGATATGTCTCCCAACAAACTCTGAGGACTTCCAGAAACAGGTGTACTTACTCTGAGATCCAGTGGCACCGAAAATGCACACAGGTGGACCTTATGGCACTCTGGAGGCCATGGGTTGCACCAGAGCTTATTTAGGAGTGTCAAACCAAGGGGGCAAACAGAACTGATAAGTGCCAGTTTGTTCTACTTAATTTTTGTGTCACAATTTTTAAAAATCACATTCATACTACTGGCTACCTTGTGTACATCAAGTGGGGATAAAGCCAATTAAATCTATTTCAATTCCAGGTTGTAACACAACATGTGAAAAGATCAAAGGAGGACAAACACTTTGGCAAGGCACTGTACTCAAGCAGCCTCATAGCTGGAATGGCAGCTAATAGAGCTTCCATGAAGTACAGGCAGTCCCCCAGTTATGGATAACCCATACTTATGAACAAAATGTCATAAAGCATGTTAATTTTTAAAAATTATACTGACTCAAGAGTGGGGAAGATTAATATTTATGTGATCAACAAGTGCTAATTTGCTTTTATTTGGCTTTTATGAAACAATAAAAATATTTTGCAGTATTAAGTAACTCACAGTATTGAGTAGGTTGTTTACAGCAAGTGGTAATAATGTCAGTTAATTCCATTCATTTCCAGGTTATCACACCTGGAAAAGAATGTGGGAAAGTCAAAAGAGGGTGAAAACTGCAAGGCACTGTACTGTATAGCTGACATATGTATTTTAACTGCTGTTTTTATTGTTATTGTGTGTTTTACAAATTGTGGTCTGGCTCAGAGGGCCTTCGGTCTGATATAGCAGATAATAAATTAAAAAATAAATATTCTACTACATTTGAAAAGCTGGTCAACCAATATTATCTTAGCCTTATTCTCAGTGTTCATACTTGCATAGGTAAGATAAAACCAAACGTGCAGAACATAGATTTTCTCATATTATACATTGCATATTGTAAATTATTGTAACTAAAATATTTGTTCCACATAATCATCCCATGAATGTTTTTATTGCTTAAAATGGTGTAATTCAAAGCATGTCCACTCAGATGTAAACCCTACTAAATTCAATGGGGCTTACTTGCAGGCAAATGGCTTTGAAGGTCGCAACTGCTCTTTGGAAGAAAGGTGGGCTAAGAATTTAATATTTAATTTAGGATCAAATTTAAGATTGAATTTAGGATTAAAGCCGAAGTGCCATGTACCTTAATATCTAAACCATGATTAGAAGGTCATTCTTTGAACTTCAGAGATCACAGAGTTAAACATTGTTTAACTGTATGCAGTTAGACTACAATTCACGTGACATTGCATTTGCTTTTTTGGAACATTGCTTATTAACATACCCCAGTGTAGCATTTGGATTTTCATGGCATGCAATTTCAGCTACTTTTTATGGCATAATACAAGACAAGAGCAATACATTCTCAGCATCATTATGTATGGAAGTTCAAAAGTAAGGCTCTGAAAAGTAAGAGTTTTCTAGAGCTTTAAGGGGATTTCTTGAATATCACCTTCCACTGGGCAGTCTAGGGCAAATATGTTGAAGGAAGTACATTACAAGCTAGTCAACAATGAAAAGGATGCCAGTCATTCCAAACAAGTGCTGAATCAGTCCCTGTTATGAGGGTTGTAAAGTTTCTAACAATTACAGGTGTAGATTCATGAGAAAAGCAGCATTTTTCTTTTTCATATGGGCTGTCCAGGAGAGATCTATTGTCTAGCTATTTTTCTTCCATTGACTATGGGTGGGGGTAGTTCTTGATGGAAGCTCACTGCAGTTTTAGCCAATCTAAAATAAATTGGTAGATATCTAGGTATCTTCTCGTATGGCATGATGAAGTGTGTTTATTGATCTTAATGTCAAGCATGCTTACTGAGCTAGTCAGGCCAGAAAGTAGTTTAAATATTAAATCTAAGGTGTTGGCTCATCTAAGTGCCCCTTTCCTATTGATTTAACATGAAGTTTTCTGCAAGTCCTATTTGTGGAAATAAATGAATCCTTACCCAAAAAAAAAAAAAAAGAATCCTTACCAAAAGAATTAAAAGACCCCTGTTAGAAACATCTGCCAAGATTTTTTGTTTTAAAAAAACACTTTTTTGTTATTGTTCAATGGTCTCTCTAATACTAAATTTGAGACAGGGAATCCCAGATGCCTTTTTCTATGCAAGCAAGGAATCCAAAGAAGATAGCATGTGAAAGAAACAGAGAAGAGCACACATCATTTACCCACTCCATAGTGACAAGTTGGCTAAATTCAAAAGTGACAGTATGAAATTCTATGGAGTTACAATCCAATATATGCTTAAGTGATTTTAATGGATGTAATGCTACTTGGCATTGTGGCCAAAGTCTTTGAAGTTCTCCATAAGAAAATAGTGGTCATTAATGGGAATTAAGTAAAACAAAAACAAATAAACCACCACACCCTAGTTTAGTTGAAAAACAATTAAATATATTTATTTCCATATGAAAAACATGCATATTTATATACACTTTAAAATTACCATTTACATCCCAAATTATTTTATATAAAATTGTGATGAGGCAATCGACATTAATTCTGCAGAGGGCAAGGCAATAAACTTTACACTAAAAATGTTGGCACTGTCCAATTCATACATGGTTTATAAATTTAACCTATGCTCAATATATTATTAGCTATATATCACGAAGTCAGCCGATACCAGTGGAACCAAAGTTATAACCCTTAACTGCTTTACCAAGAAATAATTTCCAACAAAATCCCTGGAGCTTCTTCCAAGATATATATTTTAGAGTAAAGCATGAAGTATCTTACTGCCCGGAACATTTTTACTCAGGAGTTAATTCAACTTATTCACTTCCTGGTTCATATGGTCAGGATTGCCACTGTAAGTGCAAATACACTAGCTTGAGTCATTGGAAGGTCACACTATTTATCTATACAATTGACAGCTATTGAGACACATTGGTGAGCATTGAAGATGGTCGCTTAAGAATTGATTCAACAGAAAATGACAAGGGCTCATTTGTTGACAATTTTGTTACAACTTCTTTTGCATATCTGTCAATGGTGAATTTGTACTTTTGGTTATCTTTGATGTTAGACTCTCTGTACTTCTTGGATGCCTCATCAAATGTTGCTTTTAACTCTGGTCCTGATTTGTTGTATAATTTCTGCTGGAATAATGAATGGAATGGACTGTACTTGGATGGCAGTTGTGGTAAATGCTGTTTGGCTATTTCTTTGCTGAACTTGCTGAGAGAAGGTTCTGGAGGAACCAGAGTCTCCTTGTCAGAGATTTGTGAGAAAGTTCTCTTAGGGGGTGAGAAGGCTGACCTCTCTCGTGTCTCCTGAGGGATGTGCTGGAGTTCATTTTGAGGCACCTGAGTATCTCGAACATGAGGAAGAAGGAAGGAGCTTTCATTCTTTGATGGCAACATGTCAGCGTCAGGCTTTGGATAATCCGGACCTTGTGAAGCCGTGGGATCCCAGACTGCCCCAGGTTTGAGGGACTGGACCGCAGTAGCATTGAGGAGGCACTGCTGATACAGAAAGGCATCGTTGAGGGAACCACACTTCGGCCACACCAGGAACCTGGAGGGTAAAGGGTATTGCCTGTAGGTGGTGGCCACACTCACATTTGATGAAATCAGCTCCATGTTCCCTGAACCCGAATACTGCATAGTTAAATCTAGGCAGGCTGGCAGGAAGCCACAAAACTCTTTATTGGAAGCGTCGACCTGATTAGGAGAAAAAGCAGTTTTGTAAGGGATGTATTCAGCCCCATGCATTATGCGATTAGGCAAGAAAAAGGCAGCCGCCTGTGTGGCTTCCATCATTTCTCTTTCTTTATACTCCCTCTCAAGCATGATGTTCTCCAGCTCTTTGTCAGCAAAAGCTCGCCTTTTTCTCATTCTGTCACTCACGGGAGTTGGCAAGGATGAATTTCCTCCAAGGTAGGGATCTGCTGGAATGGGACGATAACCTGAAAAAACAAAAAGGAATTCATCACCTGAATTCCAAAAGAAAAAACTCCCCAATCCTAAATTAAACTCAAACATTTTGATTATCTTATTTAAAAAAGAGTAAAAAGCTGAGAGTGTATTCCTGGAACACAGTATCTGCTACAAAGTAATTCATCCTGGAGGTCATAGTTCATGGAACCAATTCAGGAACCCAGTATCTGCTGCATAGTCATTGATGCCCCCAAATCCCACTGAAATTTTATTGCCATAGGTATAGCACTTTTAAGTATACAAAGTGCTTTATGGTTCTTATCAGTGTGTGCCCAGATACAGTGGAGACTTGGGAGAAGAGAACGTGAGTGACCTGCGCTCCTTTCCATGAATCCCAAGAAACATCCAGAGCAAACTTGCAAACCTCCCTCCATGTTGATTTATGAACCATCTTTTTTATCAGGAGTTCCCAAGAATCACTATAGGAGAAGATGTGCAAGTTGTTGCACAACAAGAAGTGTTGCACAGGAAGTGAGTATTACACAAGAAGTGAAGAAACTGGAAGTGCTTTTTGTCCCGACTACTATCCCATTTCACCTTGTCTGAAACCACACTATTAATCTCACAGCAACCCCATATGATACAATCTTTATGTTCCCATTTTATGGTATAGATTCTGTTCCTTTGTTGAGACAGTTACAATATCATTGCCAAAGATATCTATACCTATAGCTGGTGCATTTCTATTTTCTAAAGATGAATCGCTATGTACACAGAGATGGTAGAAAAATATCCAAGGAGTACTAGGAGAAAAGAGAAAGAAAGTTAAGACAAATCAAGGAAAGGAATGTGAGGAAGACTGTTCTTTGTTCTCTGCAGTGAATGTGAATTGTGGGCCAAATAGTAAGAGAGAGAGAAATGTAACTTAAATGAAATAATTTAATGAAGCCAGAACACAAGCATGCACATTCTTATCTAGAAACTAAATTCAAACTAGGCTCAATGGCCCTTACTCTTCAATGAGAGTGCAGAGGTTTATACCTGTGGCCTTCATTATTTTTGCTTGTTCTGGATGCTTCCAGATAGCTCCTAGCTCTACTAAAGGGAATTTTACAGCTATTCCATCTTTTCCTCCTTAATGTATTATTATTCTGGTAAGAAAAAAGGCAGAAGCAGCAGCAGAAAAAACATGTTAGGGTTATAAATCAAAGGTAACACCTAGACCACCTGTGAATTTCTATGAATGCAGCAGGAGGACTGCACAAGAAATGCCTCATGTGGAAGCACATAGGTGGTTTGATTAGTAGCTACTTAGCAGAGAAACATGAAATTTAACTATAAGAGGAGCTAAGATGAGTCCTTCAGGCCCTTATGAGACACAGCCACTGACCCATGAAAGCAATACATCCATCAGAGCACAACTCTGTCAAGTCCACTATAAATGCCCGGATTGATTTTGATTAAGACTACTCATCTGCAGGTGTAATTGCAGAAAATTAAAATTAAATTATCCTACAATGTATTGCTTGGTTATTAAATATTATCCAGAGTGTTCCACCTTTATTGCCCCTTCTCTTCACAGGACCATCAACCACCAGCTGTTCACCCTGTGAGAAGGCCGCTAAAAGCTTGTTATATTTTGATATTGTTTATTATGATTACATAAAAATATTTATTTTTATTTATTTTTCAATTTATATCCTGTCTTTTTCCTACAAAGGGCTCAAGGCAGCTTACATCATTTTCCTCCTCCATCTTATCCCCACAACAACAACCCTGTGAGGTAGGTTGGGCTGAGAGTCTGTGACTGGCCCAAAGTCACCCAGTTGGTTCCATGGCTGAGCGGGGACTAGAATCCAGATCGTCTGAGTCCCAGTCCCATGCTCTTAACCACTACAACACACTGGCTCATATTGTGTTACTTATAAGCAGCGGTGGAGTTGCTTATAAGTGTCAGTGTTCATTATGACAGTTCCCATAGTCACACCTCTAAGAAGAGTCAAACTTTGGACAGCTGCACTGATTTATATCAACAAACCAGTACTAGCAGTCCATCTCCACCAAATGGACCTTTTCCAAATGGGATTTGATTGCTCAATCAAGGCCAGCAACAGCAACAGGTAAAATATACTGTTGCTGGGAAAAACCATCCTCTGTCTGACTTCTAGCCTGGTTCACATGATCATGGAGTGGGATATAGGCCAGGAGAGACATGGCTTGCCATGTCATGGTAACCCAGCAAGGGTGGCCATGGTTAACCAACCACCCCAGCACCACCAGGTATGTGTGACACAGCAAGCTGAACCAGCAAGACTGGCGCAAATCCCCCTAGCATGTGACCTGGATACTCTGTGATCATGCAAACAGGCCCATTGTGAGGATTGCATCTAAGCTCATGAGGAATACAGAAATTTAAGGGTGAAGTGGCAGATGATACCAGTGTCTTCGCTAATAAATAAGGGCCAGTGCTAAATCCTCATAAGCCCTGGCTCCACTACCCCACAACCTATAAGCAGGTGTGGAAGCATTTGTATTCTGAAAGGTGGAATATAAATAATTTTAAATAAAGAAAGAAATAATCAGCAGCTTTTCTAATGGTGCATTCATGCAGCCTCAAAGACTGCAAAGAAGCTAAAATTAGATCAATTTGCTGCTGTTTTGGCAACACTTGAATAATTTATTTCATACATGTTTGAAGGCAAAGGGTAGCTATATTTATTCTGTCCTAAATGAATGAACCGGAAGAAAAGTCTGAAGAGAATTCACTACATACCCTACATTTCTGACTGCTTGTGTACAGATTCAGTGCCGAGATTAGATGAGCTCCTCTGTGCCTGTTTACCCAAATGTAAATGCCATCAAGTCCCATGGACTTTCTCCAAGTTTGTGTGCATAGGATTGAACCATTGACAGTGCCCATGTGTCTGCCCCACTAAGTTCAATGGGATTTACTATGCATGCCTATAGCTAAGTAAGGCCTACTGAATCCAGTGTGCCAAATAAAAGTGCATTCCCAAACAATGTGTCCGTGATGGCTGTATCCTAAAAGTGTGCACGCAATTTGCAAGATCACAATCTTTATGCTTTTGGCATATATTTTATAGGAATTGGTAGACATCACTAATGTTTACATAAATATAAACGTTTAGATGTTTTGATTAATCAAAACTGTATCAAATGAAATTGATGCAATAATGGTGAAAATGTTTCCAAAAAGCTTATACTTCTCTTAACCAGTAGATCTGCTGTTAACTATTACAGCTATTTCTCTGTGAAATAATATACATAAACTAATAAATAACTTTTACAAAAATTGCTTTCAGTTATTTATGTTTAGGTTTAAATAAAACAATAAAAATTAATACATGATTTCTCATGCAATGATGCCATAGTCTGTGTGTTTTTGTCGAGAACATATGCTACAATTATTCAAATCTTCAAATTATCACAGCAGCATTTTCCTTAGTCAACTATATGATTAAAATCAAGGCAGAATGGAAGGAAACCTATAACAGCAATGCATTCTATTATATGATGGAGATAGTTTGGATTTTTATCCCATTAAATTATCTTTGGTATTAATTAGAAGCTGTTTATTCCACATATTGGTTTCCCCTACTTCCCTCTATAACCTAGATTAACTTCCCTAATTTATTTTGATTATTCCTTTGAACAAGAACAGTATGAAGTTCAGTATTTTCTACATTTCTATATTAAAATAAACCACTTTTTAGACCCTGAGGTAACAACTAAACAGACTCTAAGTTACTTTGTAGCAGAATATAGCATATTTGCTTCCCGCAGATTCTGATGCCTTCAGCATGTCATGATGCAATTACCAAAAAACTTATGTGCGAACAACTTCCACTGATTTTTTCTAGTACAGTTAACATAAATGGATACAATCCAACTTGGATTTCATGCCCTTCAGTCCATTGAAATCTCTATTGGATCACAGTCCATTAGTATTTACAAATAAATGTGTTTGTATAGCAATCCGTTAACATCAAATGAATACAAAAAAGAGTTACTGTTAGTCATTTCACATATCAACAAATATAACACTGATCACTAAGATACCTATAGATTGATAAATGTCAATTGTTTAAGTATACTACCTTCTAAAATGCTTTTAGCCAGCAAACTGGGTGTTCGGACATGCCTCTGGTACACTGTCTTGCGCTCAAAGTTAGTCTGTTTCCCAGTCAGCCCCTTCTTATCCTAGTAAAGAAAGTTAAAGATTAAAAACTAATCAGAAGCTTTATCAATGATATCTTTCCGTAATGAATGTTTCCAGCTGTATTTTTTTCTTTGTGATATAGAAAGAATAAGGAAGCATTTTTCCTGATCTGTGGAGTTTTTAAAAAAATTGTCCTGATTTGTATGAATATTCATCAAACCTCCCCTGTCCCTAAGCATAGTATTTAGAAATAAGCCCTTCTGATGCTAATGGGATTCCTTCTAAGTCAATGTGATTAGGACCAGGTTTCAAGCTGTGAGTGTAAGCACTCAGGAAGGGACTTCAATTTCAAATAATGGGCACAAATGATCCAGCCAAAACTCTATGCAGCTCTATCCTATTAAAGTTTACTCAGGAGTGTCCAAGTGAGTTTTAAAAGGAATTAGTTGCCAGTAAGTATGCACAAGATTGCAGCCTATTAATACTAATAATAGAGATTTAAGTCAATGTTTTCACTCTCTCAGTGAAATCAATGGTACTTAACTTTAGCCAGAATTTTCTCAATGCATTTAGATTCAGGATGCTAGGAAACAAAGCGGGGGGGGGGCTGGGAATATAGTAATCTACACTCCCACAAATGTATATTGCATTTTCTATTGTACATAGCACACCAGATGCTTAAGGGAGGAAAAGGGATATCTGGGGTCATGCATCTTTCTGTCCAAGGCTGTATGACAGAGAAAGGTCTGACAGAAACATTAGTTAAGTATGTGCCTAGTCAAAATTAAAATAATTTCACCCACGTGTGTTCTACAAAAAGTAGGATTGCTGACACTTCAGTACTCAATACCGTGAAGAAACTAAAGGGGAAAATTGGGGCAAGTCAGTGATGGGATATTTGTCCCAAAGAACTTACAAGCATACCTATAATTAAATCCTTTCAGGAAGCCATGGGAAACCCTGGGGAGCAATGCATTTGAAGTGGGAAGCAACAATGAGAAGCCCTTGATCCATACACCCCAAAATACAAGATGGAATCCCTGGACTGAAGTCGAATTAGTCTGGCATAAGATGTGATCAGCAGCAGAAGCAGCAGCCACAGATAACATCCAAGCACTGCAGCTGCCAAGGCCTAACCCTCCTGTCCCAAGCAGTAATAATGCTATCATACATCTATGGCCAAAATGAAAAGACAAGCCTGCCATTAAAAGTAATGTTTTGTCCATTTAAGTTTGGGGAAGAGAGCTGCATTTCCTAGCACTGCTAGTATCACTCCAGACACACGTGGTGTCCCCTCCTCAACACATTCACATTCTTTGGACTCTCTTGCATGTGCTTGAACATCCTGCTCCAGTCCAAGAGAAAAACTGCTCCCTTGGCTTCAAGGCTACAGGCTCCAAGTTCACAGTGTCAGTTCACAACCCGTTTACTTGGAAGTTAAGCCCCATTACTTTTCAGACAGGTGCAGCCCTTGGTGGCAAGAAAGATCTACAAGAAAGAAATGGCACTTGACTTCCGAGTAAAGGTCGTTCGACTCTTGCTCCTGCGGACAATGCGCAAGACGGGGGGGGGGGGGGGGGGTGCTGTTCTCTTCGACCTCGCGGAAGGCGCGGGTCTGCTGGCAAGGGCCGAAAAGCCACGGCCAGACGCTCACCTCGGTCGCCTGCTGCCGGCGGAGCGCCACCTGGGCGGCCATGACGCGCTGCCTCTCCACCACCAGCAGGCAGTTGGCGCACTGGCAGTCCCGCCAGCGGCAGAAGCGCTTGTGGCCCTTGAGGCACGACACGACGCCGTGGTTGCGGCAGCGCGCGCACTTGGGCGTGCGGCTCAGCTTGCGGGCCTGCGGCTCCCCGGCGAGCCCCGCCGCCCGCTCCGTCGCCGCCGCGGAGGCAGGCGCCAGCTGCGGCTGAGGAAGCGCGGGCTGCCGGAGAAGCTCGCCGGCCGGCCCGTCGTCGTGGTCGTCCTCCTCCCCGTCCTCGTCCTCGTCGTCGTCGTCCTCGTCGTCGTCCTCGTGAGCTTGCAGCCCGGGGCTGTGCTCCGCCGCCGCCGCCGGAGCCTGCTCGCCGTCGCCCAGCTCCTCCAGACTCTCCACGTCGATTTCCCAGGCGTCCCCGCCGCGGGCAACCTGCTGCTGCCCCTCAGCCATCGCTCGCGCCGCGCGGCCCGCGCCTTCTCCAGCGCGCTCACTGCAGAGCCAGAGAGGAAGAGAAAGAGGGCGAGGCGGCCCTCGCCGCCGGTGGATTAGGCGCACAGTCGGGAAGGAGCCTGGCCCAGGCCTCGCGCGCGAGCGTGCCCCCGTCGCGGCGCCCTCGGCCGCCGCGGTCCTGAAGGACGCGTCGGGCGCCATCCCTCGACAGAAATCCCACAGCTCCTTCCCAGCACACCCCAGCCAGCCATGCTGGGAGTTGTAGGATGCAGCTCTGCCTAAAGAGGCGCAGGATGGCACCTTCGCTGACGAAGAGGCCCCGCTGGAGCTGGGAGGGCTGCGCATCCAACTGTGCTTGCGTGCAGGAGGCAGCGTCCTCCTTGTGCCCTCTCGCGCCGCAGCTTCACGGGGCGTGCACGCGCGCGACTTTTCGGCTCCCTCGCTCGCTCGCTCGCTCCCCCTTTGCGTGGCCACCGCCTCCCAAAGACCGTCACTCGCCCACCGCGACGCACTCGCAGGCCCAGAGCGACTCGCTGAGCGTCAGAGGGCGGCTGACTTCGCAGGGGGACGGTTCACGTCCTGAGACCCTCGCGAAACAAAAGCCCCGCGTGCGCTGGCGCCGGCCCCGTCCTCCTGCTGGTCCAAGCCGGGACTCGGTTAGACCGGGCGCCTGCATGAGAGCCTCCGTGGGAAGATGGGGAGCAAAAGCATGAGCCCAGACGGAGCGGACCCCACCCCCAATCAATGCTCTGTCCCACACAAAGACGCACTCTTGGAGAGGGTGCTCCTAGTAGCTGGGAGGCTGGAAGAAGCCCCCCAAAGCAACAGACATCAAGACAGAGCGATGCCCTTTACTTCCATTATGGTTATTATATTTACATCCTGCTTTTTTCCCTGCAAGATACCCAAGACTGCTTACCCAACTCTCCTCTTCCTTATTTGAGCCTCACAACAACCTCTTGAGGTTGGCTGGGTTAACAGTCCGGGACTGGCCCAACCTTATACAGCTTCATGGCCAAACTGGGAAAAGAAACTAAATCTCCCTGATCCCTGCCCAACAGGTCAGCATTTAGACCAGACTGGCTCTCATCTGTCATGATTTCTTATTTGGGCCAAGAAGTTACATATTTTCCACAAAATCTTACAGGTTTCATCTGAACACTCTCCTCCTTTCCCTCCCTTCCTTCCTGTGTTCCCTTCTCTCTCTCTCTCACACACACACACACAGTATTTTTGTGTACTCTGTCAAATAGGAAGGCCCCTTGCCTCCCCACACCCTTCACTAGCCCCGTGACAACAGCTTAGTGGCAAACAGAACTTGCATGGGCATGCTGTGTGCATCAGTGCAGCTCCCGTGATGCATCAACTTTGTGATATCCCAAGATTAACAAAATATGGGCTATGTATTCTGTTAAAGGGAGATTTTCTTCACTCTGGCTGAATTTCTGCCTGTTAGGCGCACTGCTGCAAGGCACCACATGAGAGCCCTTCCATGGAAAATGTGGCAACCATCTGCACTCCCCAGGAAGAACTGCTGGGGCCACTGTGTCGATCCAGGTTCTTCTCTACAGACCCAAGAGGAGAGTTGGTGACCTTACACTGTTCCTTTCCTCTCCACTTGGGAACCTTGCCAGCATTCTGTCCATGTGAACACCTGCTCCAAAGCAGTTTTTAAGAGGGTGTGGGTGTGTGAAAGAGATCTATGACAAAGCTGACATGCTTTTTCTGCTTGTCACATTTCAAGATAGATGCAAGCAGGCCTTCTTGAGCCTGAATGCAACCCGTTAGGGTTACAGGCAAGATGTTATGATTGCATGATTTTACTTTGCAGCCTGTGCTGGTTTATGTGCATCCTATAAATAGTCAATGAAAGGTCATGCCAGAAAAAAGTGCTAATCTAAACACTAGCACTTAAACACTCTGCTGTTTTTGCATGCAAACAAGAAGTCTCTCAAAATTCTGCTATGCCATGAGGACAGGAAAATAATGCTTTAAAATTAACATCATCATCTTAAAATGTCATCCATTCTTACATCTCTATGATTCATTTTATGATGGGTAATCTATTTCGAATAAAAAACATTGACGGTGCTGTTTTCACATACCCTTCCCTCCTTAAAAATGCACCAGGTATCCCACATGTAAAGCACCCATGGATGACCTGTTATGATCCTGGAGACTGCTGTTGGACCACAGCTCTGCATTTCTGCATACCTTGTCTTTTCCAGGATAAATTGCATCCGTTTAAGTGATTCACAGGGAAGTCTCCCTAGGGCTGCAACAGAGGTTTGCTTTCAGCCCAGTTAAGATAAATGAAAGCAACACAATCAGTTGCATTTGTGTCAGTGATTTATAAGTTGGAGTGTTACATGTTCTCCTGGTGTAATTCCTATTGTATATTTCTATACAAGTAAATAACTAGACATACTGCAGAGGCAGAATGACACTGATCAGAAAAAGTATCCACTGATCTACAAAATCACTGACCTAGAGCACAATCCTATGCAAGTTTTGGCAGGGGAAAAAAAGCCTGCAACTCCCAGCATGCCCCAGTTTTTTCTGTGGAAACTTGCATAGGATTGTGACTTCTTCCACTTTGCAGGCTGTGCATGAGTTCAGAACAATACTAATTGTATTTCCATACACAAGAGTTATTTCACAGTAGAGAGGAGAACTACTGTAGCCAGGAGTTTGTGTCATGAAAGCTGGTTTTAATCTCTGGATTGAGCACAAATCCCTGCAGGTTTCTTTGGAAATTTTCTAGGTTAAAGCAGGATATGCTACCCCCACCCCCACACACAACTGGCACAAAAGAAGAAAGTCCATTGTCTCCTGTGGACTTTGACATCTTTCTGATCACATTTATACAGAAGTGAGGCATGTGTATTTAAATAGGACACACGTCCCGATGTGTTTAGCATTGCAACCTTGCATTTGTTAAGCTCCTATAGCCAAAAGGCCTGCAGTCCTACCCGGGAGCTTGTCCAAATAAATTCAGTGGGCCTAAACTCCCCAAAATACGAAGGAGTGGGCAGTCTCTGACAAGGGAGACTTAACCTTAAAAAAAAAAAAAAAAACAGCAGCCAAAATCATCTTTGTTACCTCTCCTGCCTGCCCCACTCGTGTCTCATATACCTCCGCATGGCGATTTATGAAGGGCACAAACCCTGGTAAGAATCAAGGCTGCTTAAGCCGAGACAGAATAATAGTGTTCAGGCATGTTTAGCACGATCACCCTCAGTATGATAAATCAAGCCACGGTGGGGGAGCATCTCAGTGTCCAGCGCGCCCCGATAACTGCCCTGCTGTCACTGCACCCAGACGCGCACGCACACGCGCACCAATATTGGCCGCACACTCACCAAAGCGGTGCGTCCCGGGCTAGCAGCAGCAGCGCTCGGCATGGCATTCAGTCCATTGACTGCGGCTGGCCTGGAAAGGGTCTCGCAGGCAGGACCGACGCGCCGCAGCCTCGCCGCGTCCCGCAGCGGGGCCGAGCGGACCGTCGGGCTGGGATGAGGGAAGCGAGCGGCCTGCGTGGAGAAGGAGCTCCCGCGCTCTCGGGCTCCGCAGCAGCAGCGGCCGCTCAGGAACGAAGGAAAAACGAGGTTTCGAGGACAGCCCTGCCGACAGACGCACGTCCCGCTCCAAAAGCGGCTCCCACAGACAATCCGCTTCCCTCTTGCCCGGCTGTGTACAGACCTGCCCCGCTTCCCTGTATTATCAGTCCCAGGTCGAAGACGCCCGACTATCCGATTGGCGAGTTGTCAGGCCGTCGACTTTCTGATTGGTTGCGAGGCGTTCGTTTGCCCCTCCTCCTCAAGTCCCCGCCTCTTTTGCTGTTTTTGCCAGTTTTTATGCAGCTGTTTGGTGTTTTTTCTCCGCTTTATTGCAGGGTCACCTTTTATTTACCAGCATCAGCAGGAAAATGAGCAATATGTGAAAGGCACTGTTTTCCACCTCGGCCTGGAAAAAAAAATAACAAGAACCTGCAATAACAGGGCTTAGGTGTATCTATAGCGGTAAATGCGAGATTTCTTCCCGAAGCACAAAAAGGGAGAAAAGGATCATCATATTCAAGAACTATTAAAAGTTCGCAGAGAAGAATTGAACTGCAAATGTTCTAACGTCATAAAAAGAAATTCAAGGACTGTGAAACCATTTAAAATCTCTGTAGTTAATGCGGTTTTCCCTATTAGCATGCTAATTATCATTTTGTGCTATAAAAAAATCAGGCGCCAGAACAAAAAATATTCTGTTGTACATTTCATTTATTACATTCCGACTTAATTTTCATTTTTAAAAGTAACATGTTGTGACTCAACTTCCAATTGGTCCTATTTAAATCGATTGGACAAGTTAGTCATGGCATGAATTTCTACTGATTTCAACAAAATGCAAGTTGAATGCAACTAATTTCCACCTTTCTATGCATATTTATTCAGGAGTAAGCCCACTGTGTTGAATAAAGATTAGTCCCAGGTAAATATGCATAGGCTTGTACTGCTAGTTTGGACCCAAATCCGAGGTTGCAGTCAATATTGGTCTTACTCAGAGTAGACCCATTGAAACAAATGGAACTTAAGCTAATATTGTATACCACCCCAAACATTTACAGTGATTAAATTTAGACTAGAAGAGACGTTCTAGTTTTTCTTCATTTCTTTTGCTACTTTGTTTTTTATTTTGCTTAGAAAACAAAATGTAAGTCTCCGTTTGTGGTAATTCTTTCAAACCTAGTTTATTTCCATATATGAAGAAAGCACTTGAAAGAAAACAGTCCTGTTTATTCTGAAAATTGGGGGAAAGTTTCCTTAGTTTCATGAAAATAAAGAGTTATGTTAAATGGAGTATTTAGATAAAATCAGGCCTTACTAACAGTTGTCTGAACAAATTATATATACAATAGTTTATTGCAAAATGGAAGAATGTTTTCTAACAGCAAAAGTATAGCCTATTTTCAGAGACAGCTTTATACATACAACAGATAACTTGTTTAT